GCACTTAGGAATTTGCTTCAGCGAGGCTGGAGGGTGGCAGTCTGGGTGGCGGGCAGGAGCCCAGGGCCAGGGGCTCAGGCAGATGGGGGGAGCCGGAGAGGGAGAAGGCTGTGGCCAGCACTGACAGCCGCTGCACTCTGCCTCCCGCACAGGTGTGACAACGTGCGCGTGTTTAAGCTGGGCCTCTTCTCCGGCCTCTGGTGGACGCTGGCCCTCTTCTGCTGGATCAGTGACCGGGCCTTCTGTGAGCTGCTGTCGTCCTTCCACTTCCCCTACCTGCACTGTGTGTGGTAAGCCCTCCCTGCGGGGGCGGGCACGGGTCTGCACTTGCTCGTGGGCTCAGGCTCGCTGCGGGGCACTGGCGGGCTCCGGACAGCGGGTGCAGAGCCAGGCGCCTCCTTCTGCTATTAGACACGTCAGGAGCAGCAGAAGCTTTGTAAAAAGGGGAATTGGCTCCCGCGAGCAGGCTTAGCCGGACAGAAAGGCCTGGTTGTTACACCTCAGGTCTGCAGTCTCGGCTCTGGCTCCACTATTAAAGCACAAAGAAGCTTGAAAGGGAATCTGCAACCTGAGTGCTGGCTGGGTTGTGGGGCTGGAGTTTGGGACCGACGTGGGCAAGAGCTGGGCATGTCCTCAGGAGGAGCCGGGCCTCAGCGCTTGAGAGACCAGGTCATTACTTGCAGGACACGCTCCCCGGTTCTTTTTGTAGTTAGAGAAAACCAGGGAACTAAGTAATGGATCAATATTGCCCACCTGTGCACACAAAGACACGCCTGCGGTTCAGGGCAGCTGACTGCAGCATCTTTTGGGGGTGCTCAGGATGCAGTAAGTTAAAGAGGAAATCAGGTAACGGCGCCTCCTGCAGAGTCCTGGACTCAGAAGCCGGGGAGCAGCGAGGAATGACTGACGCTCTTCCTAGAAACGGCTTCAGCTCAGACCCAGGGGCCTCGTCCTCTCCCTGCTACTGCAGAAGACAGCAGGGGCAGCCGAGGTCCTGCGGCCCTGGTACCACGAGAGTGTCTGGGGAAGACCCCTAGTGCTGAGGGTCTGGAGGCTTTGCTGGAGGTGCGGAAGCTTGGTGGGAAGTGGCCCGAAGATACCCAGTGTGAAAGATTTGACCTACATTTCCTTGCACAAATGAACTAGAGTTTGCACGTATTTGTCACGAAACCCAGGCTGTGCAAACGCAAATCCCAGGGACTTCCAGTACTGCTTCCAGGAGACAAAACAGGACAAGTTGGGGTTTTCACTCTCAGGATCCATTGCTTGAAATTTCCTAGGTTTAACTTCAGTTCACACTAGTGAATTTGTGCATTTCACATACCTGTTGAGTTAGAATTTACAGATGCACAGATTTTTAAGTACGTACTTTGAGTTTGATGAATGTATACACCTATATAAATATGACTTTATTCAAGATGTATATTTTTATCAAAGTTACAGTAGCAATTTAAGTAAAATTCAAAATTTAGATTATATGATAACTTTGGCACAGACTTACTTGTTTATGAATCTGGTGTTGTTATCTTGTTTTTCACAAGTGATGTATTTTTTCCTGCCACCTTTGCTTTAGTTAATTAGTTTATTAGGGTTCTCACATGAGAGAAAACAACAATATTTAACTCTCTGAATCTGGCTTATTTTGCTTAACTTTACGGTCTCTAGCTCCACCCTTTTTCCTGCAGATGCCATAATTTCATTCTTTTTATGCCAGAAAAATATTCATATTCATATTGAACATTCATACTGAAAATATTCAGTTCATGGGGTTCATACCCACTACGTTTTCCTTATCCACTCATCTGTCACTGACAGGAGGCTGTTCCCACCGCGTAGCTGTTGTGAGTTGTGCGTTGTTATTATAGACGGCCATGTTAGATGGACGTTAAGGCAGACGTTAGGGGCCCTCCACAGGGTCAGTGCAGAGGATGAGGCCCACCTGAAGGTCAGGCTCAAGGGGCCCAGGCCTGCATGCCTCCCTAAGGGATAAGCAGCAACTTGAGATTACACTGTAGTTAGTCCCACCTGGTCCGGTAAATCAAGACGCCCCGAGGGTGACATCTGAACCACGCTCCCCCCGCCAGGATGTTTTCTTTCTTTCTTTCTATGTTAGTCGTTACAGGTGAGCTTAGGCATCTGGTGCTCACCGAACGCCCTTGCTGCACACCTTACTTCCCTGTTGGATCGATATTAGCTAAGCAGCTACACTGTGATCTTACTGGTTGATGGTAGTTTGCCTCTTGTGTCCACCTCGTGGTTTTGCTCTATAAAACATTCTTGGAGAAATAGCCCTGGCGCCAACCCTTGTCAGGACCCTTCCTGTCTATCAGGAGCTTCCTCTTAATAAACCTTCCTACTTTACACCTCCGTTGCCCCTTGGAATTCATTTTCCGATATTTAGGAGACACGAACTTGGCACGTCTGATATCTAGTGGGTGGGAATTATTGTTCCCAGTCACACTGTAAACATGGGTAAAGATATAAGTGATGTATGATTTAAATAAGAAATTTAAATAATATAGAAATATGGAAAGTGGCTCTCATAGCTTCAGTTTCCCCTAAAAGAAAGATAATTGTTGCCGGGCATGGTGGCGCATGCCTGTAATCCCAGCACTTGGGAGGCTGAGGCAGGAGGATCGTTGTGAGTTCAAGACTAGCCTGGGCTACAAAGTGAGCTCAAGGCCAGCCTGAACTGCATAGTGAGACCCTGTCTCAAAAAGACAAAAAAAAACAAAAACAAAAACAAAGATAATTGTTAATAGTCTGAAGTCTGTCCTTTCAGATTTTATTATGTATATATAATATATATATTTCTCTTCCACTTTTAAAAATGTTTTTATTTTTGATACATAATTGCACATATTTATGGGGTGTAGTGTGACATTTCTCTCTCTCTATCTATATATAGAGAGAGAGAAAAACGTATAATGATCAGATTTGGATTATTGGCATATCCATTACCCCAGACATTATTTCTTTGTGTTGGGAACATTCAGAATCTTCTTTAAAAGCTATTTTGAGATATTCAGTTAATCTTCAAGCATAGTTATCCTTCTGTGACATAGAATGTTAATTTTTTTTCTTGAATCTTTCTACTTGTTTTTTTTTTTGGTGCTGGGAATCGAACTTGAGACCTTGCGTTGCCAGGCAGGCGCTGTGCCGCTGAGCTACATCCCTCGCCCATTCTCCCTGCCTTTTAGAAACAAAAGTAGCATTGCTCTACATGATGCAAACTAACTTTTTTTGTTTCACCAAATACTAGCTCATAGGCACCATTCTATACCCGTGCATATATATTTATATTTTGCATTTGATACTTTATGATATGAATGCTTTGTAATTCATTTAACCAACCTGTAGTGGATAGTTAGGTAATCTCTAATTTTTCACTGTTGCCAACAATTTATAATAACCATCTATATGGGCTCTAATTCTTGAATGGTCCCGTAGATTAAATTGTAATCTAAATTGCAAAATCTGAAGAGATGGTACCAATGAACACTGTGTACTAAAGTCTGTTAAGACAGTGCCTTTATCCACATGTACATAGCTGGGATATTAGCTCGTTTAACTTGTTAACTTGATTGGAGAAATTATATTTTGTTCTTACTGTCAGTCTTTGAAAGATGAGTACTGTTGAACATTTTTTCAAATGTAAATTTGCTGTGTATTTCCTCTTTTGCAGTGTGTCCTTTGCTTTTTAAATCTTTTCTGTTGAGTATTTCCATTTTTAAAATTTGCATCCAGGTGCCGACTGCCTTTCCCTTGGTCGTCGTTACTGCCTGCAGAGCTCTGTGCCCTTCATTATGCAAACTGACATTTTTCAAAAGCACAGGCTAAGGCGCTGAACTCCTCACAGCCCACAGCCCGCTTCCCAGTCACCTGCGTGGGCCGAGCTTGTGCACACCACCTCCTTAGTCTCCAGCCCGCCCTGAGTATTGTGGAGCACTTTCCGGACAGCTCATGAAAACATCAGGGTTTTTTAGAGTTCTGTGTAATGTAGGGAGTTTTAGTTTTATTTTATTTTATGTTTTCTGCAGTACGGAGGGTCAAACCCAGGGGCATTTATTGGGCTACATCCGCAGTCCTGCCAATGCCCCCTGCCCCAACCTCTGGTTTTTAAGTTCTTGAGACAAAGTCTTGCTAAACCGTCTTGGGTGGGCTCAGACTTACAGTCCTCCTTCGTATAGTCAGTACTGAGCGATTCTTGTGAAGGTCATAAGCAGTGTTTTGTTACAGTGGAATCTAACCTGCTGTGTCCTGCCGCCTTGCCACCCGTTTTAAATCCTCGACCCCAGTCCTCTCGGCAGAGGCCACGGGCATTAGCTTGGTTACTCCAGCCGTTAAGTGGAGATACTCAGAGCATTCCGAGACGGGCTGCCCTGCTGTCCGGGGGCTGCCAGCCCTGCGTCCTTCCGAGTGGCAGAGGCAGCGGGGCTGCACGGGCAGGAGAGCCCGAGCCGGGCAGGCAGGTGCAGCGCCGCCCTTCGCACCTCACCAGCGCTGTCTCCTCTGCAGGCACATCCTCATCTGCCTGGCCGCCTACCTGGGCTGTGTGTGCTTCGCCTACTTCGACGCTGCCTCGGAGATCCCCGAGCAGGGCCCTGTCATCAAGTTCTGGCCCAGTGAGAAGTGGGCCTTCATCGGGGTGCCCTACGTGTCCCTCCTGTGTGCCAACAAGAAGTCACCAGTCAAGATCACGTGACGGCCGGGCGGCGCTGGCTCGTCTGCGTGCTCTCCCTCATGCACTGGGCTTCTTTCGCTAGCAAAGACAGCCAAGGGGTTCTAGGGAGCGGTGTGGGGTGCATCTTTCAGAATTCTGTTCCTGGGGGCTCTAACTAGCGTGTCGGTGGACCTCGGGGTTCCACCGTGCTGGGGAGGAAGGCGTCTGTCCTTCCCCGAGATGGATAACAGCGGACTTGGGGACACGGGTGTATCCTTCTCGCTGTCACTTCCCGATGCGTTGGTGAGTGGGCTGCAGCCATTCTGGTTATGGTGGCTGGGGCAGTCCAGTCCTTCGGGGGCCGGGGCTGCCCAGTGCCTCTCCCGGAGTCGGCCTGCCCCAGGCTCTGCCGCCCGGGCACTGTTGGAGCCTGCTCTAGCCTGACCCTCCGGCTCTCTGCTGGGAGGTGCCGGAGACTTTCCCTGGGGAAGCTGCCCTTCCGGACACAGCCGTGACGCAGGGTGTGGCTGGGGAGGCTGGTTTTTCACTTGCTCCTCTCAACTAACCCAGGCTTTCGCTGCATTTGCAAATCTTTTTACCACTACCTCTGTTGAGAGAGAGATTAAGCTTCAGAGAGGGTAGGCTGGTGAGCACCACCCTCGGTGCCAAGAACCACTCTTCTGCGAGCCACTCCTACAGAAGAGCGCAACGTTTAAGTGTTGGCGTCGTCTCCCAGAGCAGCAGCCTCAGGTGCACACACAGCAGCTGTGGTGTGGAGATCCCTGATATAGCCCACCTTGCCGCTGGGCCCCGTGCTATCACCAAATCCTTACGATTTTGCTGGGGCCTCTGGCTTAAACTTGGGAGCAAACACTGATTTTTCCCCCACCACTGAAGCCTCCAGTATCTTACACTGTTCTGGAAATTACCTTCAAGAACTCACCTGGCTGGGCACACTGCTTTATGCCTGTGATCCCAGCGTTTGGGAGGCGGAGTTAGTAGCACCACAGATTTGAGGCCAGCCGGGGCAATTTTGTGAGGACCTGGCTCAAAATAACAAGGGTTGGGGATACGGTAGAGAGGGCCTGGTTTCGATCCCTAATACTGAAAGAAAAAAAGGGAAACATTCTCGCCCTGTATTTCTCCGCGATTTCTGTGGAAGTGACGCTCCCCACGCTCACGTGCAGGGTGTTTCCTGTGGTTCTCAGCGCTGACCTCCCACTTCGCTCAGGTGCTGGCCGTGAGTGCACTGGTCAGCCGGTGGAGGGCGCTGGTGCAGCTGGGCGGATCTTGCCGTCTGAGCGTTTCTCACCTGGGGTGACCCTGGCTGCAGTGACTCTTCACTGGACTTCAGTGGAGGACTCCAGGGCTGTCTTCAGGGTGTGAGGAGGGGATGGTCGACCTCAGGGATACTCACTTCAACTCAGGCAGCTCTTGCTTTTCAGCGTAACATTGTTAAGGTAAAGCAGGACGGTCATGCCCTTCTGCCCTGCTTGGGTGGATGGGAGTCACGTCCCCTGCCCAGGACTCTTAGTCTGGTTAGAATTTGCGCAGAATCCAAAGGGAAAAGGCCAATCATCATCTGAACTTAGAGTTTAAAAATGAAGGACTTTATTCAACTTCGATGGTTTTCAAATTTTCTAAATAACTCACTAGGCTATTTCCTGTTTTTTCTTGTAGCAAGAAATCTTTATGGAACACTATTGTGTGAAATAAATAAATTTTAGGAACTTACATTTATACCATCTACTTAATATATCAGTCAGTAAAAATGCAAATTAAATCCCAGCACTTGGGAGGCTGAGGCAGGAGGATTGTTGCAGGTTTGAGGCCAGCCTAGGCTACAAAGTGAGCTCAATGTCAGCCTGAACTGCATGGCAAGACCCTGTCTCAAAAAGAAAAAAAAAAAAAAAAGAAAAAAGATTTTCCCAGTAAAAATACAAATTAACAAGTTGGTGATGCCCTGAGATAGAAAAATGTGGTATGAAATGCGTGTACATGTTGCTTTATAACATATTTTAAGATGACTTTAGGTGGAATGTATGTGGAACCTCTACTGTACCTTGCTGAGACCTTAGTGATTCACGGCTTGGAACTGCTGCTAAGTCCTTTGAGGTTCAAGTCTGGAGCTTTAAAAAGAGAAAGGTCAGACCACGTTCACTTCGGGTTGACTTGACGAGGCATGAATTCTGGTCTTACCTATGCTGAAGTACAAAATGAGCGAAGGTGGTGTGTTTGGCGTTGAGCGAAGGTGGTGTGTTTGGCGTATTTTAAGCCCAGCTGTCTTAGCAAAGGCACACGGGCAAATACAAGCAGAAGGGAGGACGTGATTTTTTTGGCATGTAAAGTTTAATTTGTCCAGGGGCCCCTCAGTGACAGTACTTCCTTACAATCACGGAGGAGCCACTTCTCTTTATCAGGGAAAGGACGTATTCCTTGGGGGCTCTGCTGACACCCCTCCTGCAGCCCCTGGAGATGGGATGGATGTGACCAGGGGGCGTGCGTGAACGGCCTGGAAGAGCGGAAGTGAGTCCTGAGTCCCTGGGCTGTTCTCATCCCTCTCCGACAAGAGACATGACCAAGTGAGGTGTCAGACATGTCCCAAAGGGATGAGAGCTGGGAAAAAGGCGTGGAGTGTATCTGAGGAGGACAAAACGTACTTCTCCCTTTGGACGGAAATCACTAGCGTGGTAACTCCAGAGAGCAGACGTGGACGAAGCTTAGTTTGCATTGGGTTTAGGGCATTGGTCATATTTATATCGAAGCACTACATGGTCTTTAAAGAAAACTGGGAAACTACAAAAAGCTGTAGAAAAAACCTGTTTCTGTCACCCAAACACAGCCATTGTTAGTGTTGGGCGTTAGTGTTGTTTCGGTATTGGGTGTGTTTCCCTACTTTCGTCTTTTCCCCTCACTGTTGGAGTTGTACACATGTCCTCTAACCTCGGCAGCTTGTTCTGCATCTTTGAAATGTGAATGCCAGTTGCACACTTTCCACGAGCGGGTGTGAAGTACACTAGGGTCGGGTGCACACTTGAAGGCGGGTCACTGGATTCTGAGACTTAACTTCTGGATCTTCCTTCTTAATGGAGCCTGACGTGAATGTGCCCACGAGATGGTGAACTGAAATCTGTACTTTCGTTATACTTCTTCTGCCCTTTGATTGAGCTCAGATTTTGATGTGCTCAGATTAAAGAAGGAATAGCGTATTTCATTAATGGATGTGTAATCAAGAAGCTCCCTCCCTCCTTCTGCCCAGCAGGAAGGTGTGGAGGAGTTGGGTGACAGCCATGGCTGCTCAGCAAGGCTGCTGGATGTTGTTCTGGTTAGAATTCGCCTGGGCTCTTGATCCAGGCAGAACTGGATTTAAGACACAAAAGCCCCATGAGTGTTACCGAGTGATTTCTTCCACCAGGGATGCATGTTTTATCGTGTCTGATTGATGGCTGTTACTAGAAAGGAAACCTCACTCCTCTCCACAGCGGCGTCAGTGAGCGCTCCAGGGAGCACAGGTTGGTGCGGGAGGGGACGTCGGCCCCGCTCTGGCAGCGGGCTGCCCTTCTGGGGAGCTCTGGGCCTGTTGAACAAAACGTGCCTGAAACACTAGCTATGCACCGGTTACGCTCTGTCGGGGGCAGGCTTGGTGGCTGTCAAGTGGAAGCTTGGTGAAAACTCTGCCACTACATTTATTGGATTTCTCAGGTGTGCACACACGTCCTCTTCCCTGAGCCAGGGCCGTGTTGGAAGCTCAGGACTGAGGTTTGCGCCTTCCCCTTGGGCTGGCGTGCAGACATCCCTGGGGGACGGGTGTGGCTGAAGCTTGCTCGGCCAGGGCCCCCCCTTGCCTAGCTCCCCTCCCCAGCTGAGCTTGCAACCTTTTCTAGCCTGGGTTGACTTGGATCATCCAGCTGGTCCCCGAGGTTTGGGGCCAGGCTGGGACTGACGGAGGATTTTATGCACATCGTCTCCTGCAGACCTCAACAGCACGGCCCCTACTCTGAAGGGCTCACCTCACATATTTAAAGGCTTTTCTGACGGCGGTGCCTAACCAGAGCACTCAGCGTCTTCAGCTCCGGACTGTTTCGTGCTCTAGGACGTGCCGTGGAGGCTGGGTGAGGTAGCGTTCAGTCTCCATTGCTCTGGGAATGATCTCAGGCCTTTGGAAATGGAGCTTTGCACTTTATGCTTTTTGCGAACTGACTATCATAACTATGTTTAATATTAAAGCTGTAAGTGGCATTTTCTGTGAATAAATAAATATGTTTGTGTTTCCAGAACAGTTTCCAAAGTCTCTTCAGTGCGCATGCATTTCATGGATTGTAGAACAAAGCAAAGCACATTTGCCTAAGTTCATTTTGGATGAATTTGGGAGTTGTGGTTATTAACATGCCTAAGATGAGTGTAGTGGAGTTGATTAGTGTAATTATGTATGTAATTTTGTCACATGCACATAGATGCTCAGGTCTAGAGAACAGTTCGTTTGTGCTAAGCTTCATCAGGTCACTGGAAAGAAGGTCTGATGACGTTTCAAAACTGTAAGTGACTTTAGCAGGAGAATCTGCATATACCCGTATTAATTTTTCTTAATTTCTTGTGACAGTTATTTTAATTAAAAGTTCTTTGGCCATCAGAGAAGAACAAGATAAGCGTCACCAATAACACTACAGAGTTTTTTAGATTTCTTTTTTCTGGCTGAGGAGAAAGACAAGGGCTGGCCTCACAGCCCTTTCATCTGGTGAGAGCCGGGTCTTCTTTCCAGGGTGACGCCCGTGGAAGTGGCTTCCTGGCGGTCGCCTGTCCCTGCAGCCCGCCCGGACAGAGGACCCTGTGTGACAGGGCGAGACGAGAACTTGAGTCCTCTCTGGTGCTAACATTGGTTCTCAGGATCAGACCTTGCTGTGCAGGCTGTGGTCAGGGACAGAGCATCTGAGGGGACTGTGGCGTCCCCCTGTGCCCCCGACACGGTGCTGTCCTCCCTGTGGGTGTCCTCTTGTCCTCAGCTGGCCCGCAGGGACGCACTTCTACATCCGCCTTTCCCCAGCTGCCATGAGGACCAGAGCGGGGACCTGCCCCCTGATTCTCCGTTTTGAAGGACTTTACACGGGTGTGTAGCCAAGGGGAGGAGACCTGCGCCCAGGGAGACCGGTGCAGCCACGCGCATTGCAGCGCCGCTGCGGTAGCCGAGGGGTGGGGTAGGCCAGGCCGTGCGGACAGCTGAGTGGAGAAGGAAGTATTACGGGATGTAGCAAGGCGAGGTCCTGGCGTTTGAGGCAACGCGGATGGAACCGGGGGCGCTATGTTGGGTAGAATGAGCTGCCCCGGAAAACACTCCGTGCTCTCACACGCGTGGGAGTGACAGCCGACCTCAGAGACCAGAGAAGCAGCGTCACTGGAAGCCTGGGAGGGCGGCGGGGAGGGGGAGCCGGCGGCAGGCGCTGGACGGGGAGTGAGCGCTGGGGCTCTGGGGGCCGAGTTTACCGCGCGTTCTGCTCTGTTTACAAGGAGCCAGAGGAAGAGCTCAGTCTCCCAGCACACGGAAACGCACAGGGGGTCGACGAGCTGACCGGTGCCCGTCACACGCGTGGCTGACCGCCGTGCTCCGCAGGTGTGCACGGCTGTGTGTCGGAGACCGCGCTGTCACACTCAAAGATCTGTACGTTAAAAGACTGTCCTGGGCTGGAGGGCGCAGGCTGGCCACCCACGCTGAGGAGGCCTCCACAAATGGAGCTCACATTCCCGTGAGGGAGGTTTTCAGGGTTATAGTTTCAGACAGTCCTTAAGGTGGTGTCTGCATTTGGGCTTGTCATGCTATTTTGTCTACTTTTCAGTGTTGAATTTTTCCATAATTAAAAAGTTCAAAAACAGTATTTTTCCATAATAAGTTCAAAAACCCTCCCTCCCTCTCTGTCTCTCTGCTTCTCTGTGTCTGTGTCTCTCTCTCTATAGCTCTATCTATTTATCTATCTATCTATCTATCTATCATCTATCTATCTATCTATCTATCAGAGATGGGTCTTGCTAAGTTGCCCAGCACTCTCAGTCTTAAACCCTGAACTCAAGCGGTCCTCCTGCCTCAGCCTCCTGAGCCGCTGAGCCGCCATCCTCCCTGTCTTTGCCTCAGGTAGCTCTTCTGACTGGTGTCTGCAGGCTGTTTACCTGGGAGGCCTTCTCTCAGGGTTAACTCACAAAAGGGGAAAAGGTGGGCCCCCCATGGACTCGTATTTGTTCATTTTTGTATTTCTCATGAAAACGGAGCCTCGATCCACCTGCCGCTGCAGCTGAGCGCAGAGACCGTGGCACTTTCTAGAGTGTCACCAACAGCAGTGGTCCCTGGAAGGAGCCCTCACGGTAGGGCCGGTGGAGGGAAGCCGCTGAAGGTGAGGCCAGGAGCACCGGGTGACAGAAAGTGCCGGGGTGGATGTCAGATTACTGTCAGCAAACCAAACCTCAAGCACCCGGCACGCCGCTGGAGGAGTATCGCCATCTGCTGGCCCTTCGGGGTACTGCTAGCCGCGGCGCCGGCGAAGTCTCCCCAGTTCCCAGGGACCCCAACTCGCTGGGCTTTCCGTGCTGTTCCCCGAGGGTTCCCAGCACTTTTCCTCTTCCCTCTGCAACTCGTCCTTTTCCCCTAGGTGTCTGCTCTCATTGCAGTTTAGGAAATCTGCTCAATGTGACCAAAACACATTTCTGTGTGGAAAGACCTCACACGGATGGGGTTTAGAGGAAGTGTTTGATCCACCAGCGCGAGTTCAACGTTTGGCGTTACCGTGTCCACTCACGCAAGTCGAGTGCTGTTACGATTCATCGTATCAAGACGAAATCCAGCTTATTACTTA